CAACTCAAAAGGTTCGCAAAGTGTGGTTAAGGGTTCACCACATTCCAAGCTAAGGAAGACACATGGGCTAATGAACATGTTCGGTTGGGGAATAATTATCATTATCGGCGCAATAGTGGCTAGACACATGAAGCAATGGGAACCAACTTGGTTCTATGCTCATATTGCTCTCCAAATCACTGGTTTTCTCCTCGGTTTAACCGGTATTATTTGCGGTTTAGTTCTCGAAAACCGGACCGATGCCAATAATGTTTCCACGCACAAAGCCCTTGGGATTACCATACTCGTCATGGGCATTCTCCAGGTTCATTTTCTTCTAACACTATAAAGATATTCAAATATACTGCTACTGCTGAGTATAATATCAAATGAATATCGATTTATTCGGTTTTGTTTATCGATATCACAGGTCATGGCGATGCTGGCTAGACCGGACAAACAATCGAAATACAGAAAGTATTGGAATTGGTATCATCACAACGTAGGAAGAGTAATGATAATACTCGCTATTTCTAACATCTTTTATGGGATTCATTTGGCTAATGCTGGTTCTGGCTGGAACGGTGGTTACGGTTTTACGGTTGCGGTCTTGGCTTTGACCGCTATTGGATTAGAAGTTAGAAAGTTCATGAAGAAGTAAAATTTTATTTAAAATTTGGTCTCTCTTGATTTTCTTGCTGCGAGATTTATCTTGGATAGAAGGACAGTGTGATGTATTTATTGACTAATCAATCACTTGAATGATATGTTTTTCGGTTTTTTTCTTTTTGTCATTTCAAACTTCTGTTTGATTTTTCAGTAATTCATTTGAGGTAATTTATCTTTCATTATTCAAAAATAATTCTACACGGCTCACGATTTACGAACTTCCGGTGGTGATTTTTATCTGATTTGTTGTCATTTGTAGATGTTTTAACAAAAAAAAAACATGATTATTTACTAGTCTTGAAAAAAAAAATACCAAGAGACAATACAACAAGATAAAACCTACCTCGCTACGTAGAGCTATGAAAGCATGATTATAGGTAGTAAATATGTTGAGGTAAATATATAAATTTTATAATATTAATTATATTGG